ACACCTGCAGAAAGTTGTGAGATGTTTCAAATTGATCCTTGCCAAGACTCAAGAGTGCTCTTTACTACAGCCGAAGACAGATGGATTGCTAGTGCTCAAATATCTATGTTAAGACCTCAACAGGAATGAAACCCTGAGGAAACAGTTATTTCATTGTGTATAAGTTGCTATATGGGCTCATTTACACAAGGTCATTTGACCCTCAAAACAACATCTCATGTAAGTTTTATTGATCTATAAGTGATCGACATGGTATAGGAACATAGTCCAATGACTGCCTGTAGGAGTGGAAAAGTCTGGAAGTCTGCTAAACCTTACTAACACCTCGGTTGTCGTGCATGAAATTACATATAAAGTATAAAGTTAACCATGGTCGCCATAATAGTTTAAAAGTTTAGTATGCTAGATAATTTCTGCAGGTTGATGGTCAGAATTTGAAGTACTGTATTTAATCAAATATGGACATCATACAGCATATATTTCTACAAAGTGAGACAAACACATATACCATAACAAGTTTCCAGATTCTCGCTATAGGGGATCACTGAAGTCATCAGGTTGAATTCCCCTAAGGACAATGACTATGTTACAGTACAACATTTATTGGCAAATCAGCCAAAAACTGTGGACACATTTTCTTCTGGTTCAAATTGGAGGTATGATCAATCAACAAAACAATACCATGGTTAGAATGGTTAGAATGAAACTGTAATGTGCAAAGCTAGTGTCTGATCCATACAAAAGTTTCAGTCCCAACATGAAATGATCCACAGGAAATGATGGAATAGGTTGCCTTTTACTTTATTAGCACTGCAGCCCCCTGTATTCGATCCAGTATGCAGAACAAAGCACAACCAGGGCACCTTTGATCATGCTGAACAGAATCCATCAATAACAGCAAACCCATACAGAGATGAGTGAGTGTTTTGCTCTCAGACGTCTCAGTGGGTCCATTAAACATCATGGTTAGCCCGGGTGCACGCAGTTTTGAGCCAGCTGGAAAGTAGCCGTCACAGTAAGTATCTGACTTTGCTGAGTGCTTTGGGGCAGCTCTACATATGTTTCCTACCTGAACCTGACCTCAGCCTCCTTTCAGAGGAGAACTAGAGCAAAGGGAGGAAACCTTTGGTGACCAATAAAGCATCTCATTACAGGTAATCAATCGGCTTGTTACAATGCCTCCTCTCTCTTTCCTGCTTTCACTCTCCACTCCAGTAAACTTTGGTTAGGATCGACATAGACACATGAACTGTAACTTCAAGTGGACGCTCATAGGATAGTTCACACACACACACATACGCCATAAGGTGCCCTGTCAGGTATTGAATAGTCAATGCTGCAGAGCAGAAGCCTTGGTTATTCATGTGTGATAGTGCTGCTGCAGAGGACCCAGCTGGCTCACACTGAGCTACGTCAGTGTGTGTGTGTCTGGGAAAGAAAGAGAGAAACAGAGGGCATGTATGTGTCAGAGGCATGATTGCATATGTGTTACAGATAGAATGTGTGTGTCTGTGTGTGTTAGTTCACCTGTCAGTTTGAGCAAACTCACTCACCTGTGACGTCCTCATTCTGTCTCTGTAAGCCGTCACTGAGAGTGCTTCTCTCAAAGGCCCTGGCAACACACATGCGCACACACACACACACACACACACACACACACACACACACTTACGCAGTCATATCAGCCATGGGCAGGTGTTGAGATCACTGACTTCTGAAGAGGATTTCACCTCTGGCAGTTTGAATGTGTGCCATGTATTTTCACCCTGAGTAATGAATGCTCTCCCTCTCTCCCAGTCTTGCATGTGCATGTGATCATCTGTAAAAAAAAAAGAAAAAAAAAGGGGTGAAGAACAGAAAGAAGGGTGAGGGGAGAGTGACACTAAAAAAGCGAGAGGGAACAGAAATGAGCTGGATGTTGAGCTCTGTATTCATCTTCTGCTCCGGAGTCGTGCAGTTTCTATCAGTGACTCTTCATTTTTTCTGGGACATCACAGGCCAAGCTTCGCTGGAATGACAGTGACGATGAATTCTGCAGGACACAAACTCCCACGCACACAGCTGGAGACACTTGTGATATGCAGTTAAGCAGCTTCTTCCATCTAGTGGCCACATATGCATACACTCACACATAAATGGATGATTGCAGCAAAAAGATAAACATCATTATTGCATTTCGTGGATTTGCTTGGATGACAGATTTGATTAACTGAACTTTTTTTTATCATGTCACCACATTTCCTCTGGAGGAGCTGTGCTGGCTGGCTGTTCCAAGGTTCAGGCTGAAAACTTAAGGGGACAGGGTTTTTGCTGTCAGAGCCCCCAAACTTTGGAACAGTCAGGCAGTAGAGATCAGATTTGCTGAGTCAGTCCCTCATTTAATATTTTCTACTCCAGACATTCTTTTACAACAAAGGTTTTGCGCTGCGATTTATCCTATTTTATTTTTTATTTTTATCTCCAATGAAACCAAAGTCTTTGATGTCCTCATGAATATTACTTCTTGGCCTTTGGGAACAGTCATATAATGTCAATCTTGAGGGACTGATGATGTCATGGTGATGCAGTCAGGCTCATCTCAGTTTGAGATTAGACCCAATAAATATATTTTTTTAAACCTGTGTAAAATTTAAATTTGAGCTTAAATACAGGAGTAATTGAGGGTCTAACCAAAGCTGACGTCAATATGCATTATGGGAAATGTAGGATCATCACTCATTATGACATAAAGCTGTGGCATCTCTGTATTTAAAATCCAAAGGAAATAGTGTTATATATATATATATGATGCATAAGGATGTGATATGGTTTAAACTTTACTCTGCAAACTTTAAAACACATTTCATATACAATTCTAAATGAGGGAAAGAGACATCAAGCCTTCAGAGACCTGCATGGCACATCTCAAAGCAGATTCAGTGGGCACTGAGAGAGGCTTAGTGTCAATACAAGTTTTGTATTTAGGGAATTGTGAGGGTGTTATTCTCTGCAGCACTCCCTCTGTGACAGGATTACACCCCTAGGCCACTGTTGTCAGTAAGAATGATCTTAATCAACCTGTCTTGTTAAATAAGAGTCAACGGTGTCCAAACATTTAATTAGCAGCACTCCTGATCTGCAACTGAACTCCTGGCCTTTTGATTGGCTGTCCCTCAGGGACAATAATGCCCTTGCAACAGATTATTATACTTTGGGAACAAATGTAAAACCTGGACCATCTCTCCCTTGCATAAACCTAATATTCGCCAGCAGCATGTGTGTTTGGTTGTTGAAGCAAGTCTTTTTTTTTTAATGATCTGATACTATCTGTTTTCTTAATAGTTGTCTTTTTCTCTGTATAACACATATTAACAGTGCGATGAGTTTGCATGAAACTGTGCGTGTGGAATGTGAGTGTGGTGAAATTACTTCGTCTGTTGGTCTGAGTGAAGAACGCAGCTGCCACTTCACACTGCAATTATGCTATTACAGGGTTGACGATTGGCTTGCACACATAATTATGACCACACACACTCTGCTATCACATGACCACATATGTAAATGAATGCACACCGATCAAAGTCATTAATCCTCATTCTTATCACATAACAAACATTGCTTCTCATTTGAACTTTAACTCTTGAAATGTGTAAACCACTACATTGACAGCTGCTCTAGCGCAAGCACAGAAACAGGACATCGTATATATAGATCCATATGGGCAATTTATATATTGTAATCTGAATATACAATATGCACATGATCTTCTAGTAATGTATTAACAGAAGGAGTAACAGATTGAAACTATGATTCAGTCCCCCCCCCCAGTTATCTATCACCTCTTGGCTTTGCCTGCATTTCTCCGCTCTGACACTGTCATGACCTACAGTACCAATATGTGTGTGTACAGTATGTGGTCCGTGAGTTATCCACAGCCACACGTGTTCACATATCTATCACTTGCATCTTTGGCTATTGAATGTACACCTTGCTGCTGTCTCTGCTCCGGCTGTTTCAGCATGACAATGGGCAGCTCAACCGAAAGGTCGAGGGTTCGATCCCCAGCTCCTACAGGCACATGAAGTGTCTGTGGCCAAGATACTGAACCACAAATTGCTCCTGCTGTTACACCAGCAGAGTGGGAATGTGTTTATATATGGATTGGTATGAATGATTGAGCAGACTGCCATCAGTGTGTGAGCGTGACGTGAATTGTGAATTTGACATGTAGCCTTAAAGCACTTAAAGCTAGTCATAATAATAGTCAGACTAGAAAAGCGCTATACAAGTCAATTTACCATAAAGATCAGAGAGGGGTCTGGCTTCTTTATTGAAAGCATAATTATTTGTATAAATGCATCATTTTAAGAGATTGTGTGGGTGGAGAGCTAAAAGGGACAGAATGATGTCTTTTAAATGTCCTAATCACTGCTCTTATGTGGGAAATTAATGTCTTAAACATTAACACATTGTATTCCCAAAGTTACAATTAGCATAAGATTTAAGTGAAACATTAGGTCGTGAGCTCAATTACATATTGTAAATAGTAATTTTCTGACTCAAAACACTTCCTGTAACAGGCCGTGTTGACAGCTCCTTTGCAAATTAAATCCCTTTTTTTAGTTCTCCGTTGATCATGGTAATTATTTATTGCATTTATAGGCAATAACAAAATATTTCTTAAGTTTAGAATTAGATTAACTTGATGTAAAACTGGAGAAGGGATCAATAATTAAATACTTAAACAGCTGAAAGGTCTCACTAAATGACATCATCATAACAAAAACATGATGATAATAACATTCCCTAATAAAAATAATTAAATCTCTAAACAATGGCTGTTCTTTCCTACAACAGTCTTTGTGTAATACCGTTTTCATCTGTTTATTTATCATTATTCTTATTCTTATCATTTTAAGTCAAAAATAAATGTGCTAATCAAAGATTACACCTCCGCTCATTGGCTACTATCAACGTCACTGCGCTACGAACGTCCTTTGGCTCCCAGGCTCTTCCGCATGACGTCATGACGCATCGTTTCCAAACAATGCTAAGGAAAAAGCCACGTTGACGATCCAGATTGAACTGTAGTCCTGAATTTCGAGCAGGCCAGCGCTGGGATTAGTTTCTTCAGACGACCTGGTTCCTTTCCCGCTGCAGACTTGAGATCAGTGCAGTCATGTCGTCAGAGCCGAAGGAGAAAGTGGAGACGAAAGGAGGACATCCCCCTGCAGGTAAAGCTCCTTCTGCTGCTCTCTTGTTTTTTTTTTAGGCTTCCTTTAAACTGAGGCCCTTTGTTTCTGCACTGACTAGGTCCAGAAATCACATGATATAGAATAATACTTATGCAATCACCACATGTGCATATACTAGCAGGGCGTCTCTACATTCATCATTGCATGTGGTGTAATCTGCCTTAATTCTCAGTTTTTCACATTTCCCTACTTCCTGATTTGTGTCAGACCTTTGAACATACTTAACCCTTGGGACATTGTAGCGATTTTAGATCATCGTAGTGTAATTTAAGGACGTAAGTTAAAATGTTACGTTTGTACTGCTGGGTGGATGACGTGGAGGTCATACGCCTGAGTCTTTTGGACGGAAAGCTGAAAAAAAAAAAAAAAAAACAGATAAGGTGTACGTGGACCTGAGCAGTGTGGCAGGGTATGGGGCCACAGCAGCTACACTGATAGCACAGTGAGATAATAATTGCCCCTTACACCGAGCCTGTGATTAGTGGGAGGCCAACAGCAGCCTCTCTGTCTTAAACAAACATGAATGTATGTCTCACCACTGAGGCCAGAGGTTACAAACAGCTATCCTAGTGCTTTGAACAATTCATGTCCAGGACATTCCGACATTATGTGCAGGACGATAACTAACTCAAACTATAACTTTTATAATGAATTCAGTCCAAATGTAACAATAAAGTTATCATGCATTATTCTGTATTCCAGTATAACGTGAATACTTACATTGTTAATGCAAGGAAAGTACTGCTAAAGTCATATTATTCTAAATACTTATGGCTTTAATTATTTTATTTCAATATCTGTGATATTTGTTTGATCTCATTGTGAGCCCTTGAACTAATCTTACTTGTTCCTGTGTTAATCAGTGTGCATGTGTTTGTCCCTCTGTTATGGTGTTTTGCAGTAAAGGCAGGAGGGATGAGGATAGTGCAAAAGCACCAGCCCGCTGTGGTGCCTGAACCCCCACCAAAAGATGATGATGAAGATGAAGAGGAGTACGTCAGCAGCAGGTATTTCACCCACACTCTCATGGACGATTACCTAACCGGGCCTACTTGGCATAAGCCCAAGGACCAAAGGGTGGAGGAGATCCCTGCATGGGCCAGAGCCTATTTTTGAATTGTCATTAAAATATTTATTAGGACAAATAAATAAAAGACTATAAAGGGACTGAATATGATTACAAAGACTTGCTGAATGACAACAAAGGCTGGAAAAAAATCATGACAAAAAAGACCTGCAAAGACAGACAAAAGAGCACACAGAGACTGAAAAGACTACAAAGAGACACAATATGATCACAGAACCATCAGAATTAGAGACAACATGTTGACAAATAAACACAAAAGCAGCACAAAGAGATGGAAAATGACTCTTAAGACACACAACAACCACAAAGACAGCCTAATGACACAAAACTTGCAGCAAAGTGAGAGAAAATGTTGCATTGTTTATTTGTATTTATTTGAACCTGAGTGTTTAGTTCATGTTTACAAGAAATGGGGAAACACCTACTAAGTTGTAAGTGGGTAACACACACAGACATACAATCTGCAATTTGTCTACTAAGAAATTTAGCAGCTTCCACTTAAATTTAAGAAGATACTTTTTTGCAGCATGTTTTTTCAGCAGGCATATATATAACTCGATAAACAACATAATAACTGAATAATTCAGCACTTGTACAGTCCATTCTGCAGCCACTGTTGTTGGCTGATAGCCGTCTCAGTTCACATGGTCTACATCACGCTGGCTCTCTTCATAAGCAGCAATAATTGTTCCATTTCTATGTTAGCATGTTTAGTTTGCTTCATTGTTTGTGCTACTTACTCCATACTGTGAAGTGTAACTGTGTGTGCATGTGTCTGCTTCTACGCCCACTCTGCTCAATATTCATGAGGACCCGTCAGCTATATGCGTATCAGTACAAGTGGCATATTCACACCACATATCAGTGTGTGTGTGTGTTAAAGAGAGGTGATAAATGAGAGCTGACAAGCAGTGCGCAGCAGTGAAGCAGGGTTCAAGAACATTGCCAACTATCAAGAAATTTTAGCATGCTGGTATTTCTACACAAAATCTAAAACACACAAAATTATACAATGCATGTTCTTTAATGACCCTGCGTGTTGTGTGAGTCTTTCCCTGTAATTCAGAGCGAAAATAACATCGAGCATGTTGGTGCTGATAAGTCATTTTGTTTTTTCTCTCCTCTCCTTTGTGCCAAGATGAGTGGTAATGGCAGACGGAGCATTAATGTGAAAAGTGAGGTCAAGTTGAGAACGGAGGTATGAAAGAAACATGCAAGCCCGGCTCACACGTCTCAATATGAAGGAGAGTGATTAAGAAAGAAAGAACACTGCCGACTATAGTCAGGAAACTGGAGATATTCTTCCTTCTAGTGGACATTGGTCAGAGGGTGTGACCAGCTGGTTGCATTATGCACTTCCTCATTTTGTTATGTAACCTTAGAGGATATTCAGTCAAACTGTGCAGATTTTAGAAATGCAATGGTGTTACAACTCATTGATTTATTTTTTTCCAATATTAGCTGTTTTCTTAAATAAAGGCTATGAAATGTGAAGGGAAAAAGCCCTTCACAGCCTCACAGCCTCCATACATGGGGCGCCTGCACTAACCATTAGGCTACCGGTGCCCCAATACTGTTGATAAACTACCCAATAAATCGACTTATTTGATAAATAGACATAGATTTACTTTATTGAGCCCTAACTGGGAAATTGTGGAAATAATAAAAATACTTGATGATATGACTGATAATTCACTCTGGATATACATGCAGTCCTACTTTCAGAGGCAGTTAATGTGTCCTATTTGTTGGTGGAGGAGCCAGCTTTGTGTCTGCTTTGCAAAATGAATGCAGGATTGAGAGTGTTAAAATATCTTTGAGGCTTTCCTTGTGTGTGAACTGGCTCAGCAGGGACATTAAAAACTCAAGAAGTTCTTTTTCCCCCTAAATATGTCTGCACAGAGCTTGCAGTCAAGGCAGAGGAATCACAACTTCAGCTGCTGAAATCAAATCCACAAATGGTGCATTTGAATCACAGAGGAACACCGTTTAAAATCAGCTTTGAAAAACCTTTCTCGGCCTGGCTGTGGAAACGCGCGCTTTACCTTCCTCCTTTCAAGTATTTACCTCAAACTAAAAAAAAAATACCTGTCAGCGCGTCTCACAAGAGAAGCTTAGTAGCTGCACTCCGTCAGTAAATACAGTCAGTGAAAGTCTCTCACTCACACACACTCTGTCTGTCCCTCTCCGTGTCACGCTGATGGACGTCTAGCAGGTGGCCACTGGGTAAATTTCGCATTAGTAGCAGCCAGTGAAGCGGTGTAGTCAGGGGAACACCTGCCGTACCCAATCTCACCGAGATGGACAGATGGAGCAAAGAGAGAGATAGGTGGCCTGGATTATTGGGAGGAGGGGAGGGGGAGATTATTATGGTATGGAGAGCAGGAGACACCATGCTGATGTGAAGATAGGAAAAATGAGGTTTGACTCGGTGAGAGAAGGAGGAGAAGGGCGGGTAGGGGTGAGATACAGGCAAGAAAGGAAGGCATAAGACGGGTGACCCAGCAGCTGCCCACTTAGTGTCAGCTGAATGTTTTTCAGTGTCAGGAATAAATCTAGTGTTTCTGCTTCTGTGTAAAAAATGTGATGTCAGTGAGAGTTAGGAAAGCAGGAGAGAGGGAGAAAAAAAAAAGAACACGTGTTTATTAGCATGATGCTTCTCATTTACACAAAAATCTGGTTTATGTGCTGCTCACACATTTGGATCAGCTAAAAGTGTAAAAACGACGTGGCCTCGTGTCAGCTGCACTATCACGTCTCCTCCATGTTTTTGGTGAGAGGTGGATATGTTTCGCAGACCCAGAAAAAAGAGCGGGCGGTGCTGTGTGTATGCTCCACTTCATCACTCGCTGCACACATACACAGTATGTAGGAACTGTTGCGGGATGCGCAGTAAGCTGACAGCTCACAGTGAAAAGTTGAGAAGGAAGAGAGAGAGAGAGAGAGAGAGAGAGAGAGAGGAGAAGAAGAGGAGGAGATACAGGCAACAGGCATCAGTTTCTATAGCAACCACCACATCGCCTACGGCAACAAACTTCCTGCTCTGTTGAAGCAAAGAAAGATGGGTGGGGTGGTGTTGGAGGTAATGGTGGTGAGGTGTGACTTTAGAGCCAAATCAGAGGAGAAAACACCCCCAAAAAAAATCATATGAATGCACATTTCTTTCTTTGATTAGTTAAAATGTGTATTCTGATTTCTCTTTCCCTTTACCGACCTTCTCCTTTCCTCTTCACTCTTCTCCTCTCCCCTCACAAAGCGACTCCTCCCCTGGTTTCCTCGCAGCTCTCTACTGCCCCCTGCAGACTCCTCGACCACTTCATCCCACCTCTTTGTTACTTTTGGCTTCTCTCAGTGTGACCTTCTCTTGGTATCTCTCTCCATCTTCTCAAACAGATAAAGACATGAAAGGTGTCAGTGGCATAATCTTACAACGAAAGCTTTGTGTGGAATCTAGATTAAGATATCATGGCCTAGAGTAGAGTGTGATTAAGATGTCTTAAACAGAGTGGCGTGTATCTGTTTACCAAGCATGTCTAAAACCTGTTGTTTATTCTACATAAGGGGAACGTTATTTTTTACTGTCGTGGGGGGGGGGGAAAGAAACAATTTTACCCTTTTGAAGGAGTCTGAAGCTTGTTAGCTGTCTCACTGACAGGTCTTCACTTCTACCTGTCTGTGTAATCATGCCTTATCCGTCTGTCTTCTTTCTCTCTGCCCTTTATGTCCATCCCTGGCTACAACAGGCCAAGTTTGATACTAACATGCCTCAAATGCAAGGCTGACGTTTTCCTTCGTCCTTTGGTTTCTTTGTTTTTTCCACCTCTCATCTCTTTGCGGTCTTGTCAGTATTTGAGGATTCATCTTCAAATGACACAAAGGAGATGGGCGTTCAATAGGAAGGAGACATGATGTGACAGGCCAGCGTGAGGTGAATAGGAGCCCACGCTGTGTCGGTATGAGAGCAAATATTCAACTGAGCTCACCTTAACCCCAGTGTGTCTCACCTCACCTTAGCTTCAGTTAGTATCAGAACTGAAGCAGCTGCTGTACATGTGTGATGTATAACTGTGTGATGTATAACTGTTTGGCATGATGTGGAAAAAGAGCAAGTTGTTTTATTTCACTTGTGAAGCAAACAGCTCAGAGACAGTTTCGACATTTCAAAATAACAACATGAAAAGTCTGTTTTTTTTATTCAACATCAGACTTTAGCAGCTGAACACTAACGAGCTATCTTTTAGCTTGAGGGAAATGAAGAAATCTGGTAGCATGTAATGCTCGCATGCCATTGTAGAGTTTACTTTGTGAGTGTAATGAAATTAGATACTTACACTATGCAGCAGTGCGCCCGGCCAGATGTGTTTAAGATGATTATGATGTTTAGCCAACAGGTGCATTCGTGATGAATATTCTGTAAGTAATTTTCACAGTTGTTGGATTTTTTCCGGCATCTGGATTTCTTCATCTGGCAATTGACATATGCACAGCTATACTTAACTTGCTCTGCATATAGCGCTCCCTTTTTTTTTTTCAACTGTACTTCAAGCCAAGTGTTAGCAAAAAGCTAACCCGAGCACTTCACAATTAGCAGAGCATAAATCTGAATAAGAAACACTTGCTGGGATGTTAATATGCAATATTTCAGCTAATTGACTTGCTAATAGAGAGCCTCTCAACCTGACATTTTGACATGTGGTTAGTGAGGAATAATCAGGGAAATTCAACATATCCAAGCATTGATTTAATAGCAAGGTGTAAATATTCTCATTAAGATAAGTAGCAGAGGGCTGTTCAGTGCCAAGTGGTTGATTGCAGATTTGGACATAAGCCAGATGTGTTGAGAATCCATAACTGCAAACAGATCATCATTTAAAAGTTGTGCATGAATCTTCAAATATTTATAGGAAGCTAACAGATGTTGCAAACATCATGCTATTCAAGTGTTTGTATTCTGACAGCTGAGGATTGATTGAAGTTTGTTTACTGAGAAACTTTTCCTCTTTGCATATTAACCGTGTTAATGAGGTAGGCACAAGTTGGACATGCTTGTTGCTAATGTCTTTCAGTGTAGTTTTGAAGGTGGCTACCACAACTGTGCGCTTTTGCCGGGGGGCGACGATGCCGTAAAATTAGATGGCGCTCGTTTGTCATGTCAAGGTCGATACTTCCCTCAGGTTCCGCATTCCTCCTCCTCGTCTTTCCCTCTGCCTCCATCCATTCCCTTTCTCTGTGTGAATGAGCGCTGGCCACCCTCTCTCCTCCACTCTCCTCCTCTAACAGTCTATTATTTTATATTTTTCTCCCCTGTTCCTCCTCTCCATTTTCCTCCCCTTGTCACCCTTAAACCCCTTGACCCACCTTTCCCCCTTTCTAACCTGTCTTTCCTTCACTTTCTTACCCTCCTCATTTCTCCTCCTTCCCAATCATTTCCTTTATCATCATCCTCCTCGTTAGCTCTCTCTAACGCTCTCCCTGCATCCCTCTCTCTGCTCATGCTTTCCATCCAGAAGCTGTGAGCCCCAGTGTTTGGCCAGGATGAATGGGAGCTATTTAAGCTGCTGGCAGGTCCATCCTGTGTGTGTGTGTGTGTGTGTGTGTGTGTGTGTGTGTGTGTGTGTGTGTGTGTGTGTGTGTGTGTGTGTGTGTGTGTGTGTGTGTGTGTGTGTGTGTGTGTGTGGTGTGTGTGTGTGTGTGTGTGTGTGTGTGTGTGTGTGTGGTGTGTGTGTGTGTGTGTGTGTGTGTGTGTGTGTGTGTGTGTGGTGTGTGTGTGTGTGTGTGTGTGTGTGTGTGTGTGTGTGTGTGTGTGTGTGTTGTGTGTGTGTGTGTGTGTGTGTGTGTGTGTGTGTGTGTGTGTGTGTGTGTGTGTGTGTGTGTGTGTGTGTGTGTGTGTGTGTGTGTGTGTGTGTGTGTAGGACTGTGGGTGTTATGTGTTCCAACAACTTTGGATGTTCAAATTTTGGCTCGGTTACACTTTTAGAGGTTTTGAAGTAACCAGATAAATAAACGTTTGCAAATGTTGCCATGCTAAACACGGTAAACTGCAACTTCGACCTGCGCACAATATGATTTATTTTATACACACAATCCCCAAAGAATAGCATTGGACACACATGCTGTTTACTGAGTTGTGTATTATTCTAAAAAAATAAAATCTTGAATTTGTATGCTTTCTTTTTTCTCTCTCTCCTTTTTAGTCCACCGAAGGCCCCCATGGTTGTGTCTGGAGTGGTTACAAAGGTAAGACACACACACAGACACTCTCAGACACGCACACACTCAGACCACCAGTAGTGTTGAAATAAGCATTATACGGTGATTTATATCTGGGACATGAGCTCTACAGGGAGAGGTAGCAGCTTAGTGCTGAGACAGAACAAGGGAGTAAAGGAAAAACAAGGCAGACAAAGGGGAGGACAAGAAAAGCCATGGAGTTCCAAACAGGGAGATGATGATGCTGAATGATCTGCTATTGTGAAAAACAATATTAATTGGAAAAACCATTTGTTATCAATATATTATTTTTTGAAGATTTAGTTGTTGGATCATTCTCAGCTTTTCTTGTTACCATGGCCCAGAAATCAATTGAAAGAACAACATTTGTACATTTATTCATGGAAAAAAAGGCTTTTCTTTTAAAGATTTATTTTTGGGCTTGCCTTTATTGTAGATATAGGACAGTGGGTAGAGTCGGAAATCAGGGAAAGAGAGCGGGAAAGGAGACACAGGTCGGATTTGAACTTGGGTCGCACGCTTGGAGGAGACTATTACCACAATCCCCAAAAAATATTCTTATGTTTCCTTTTTTCATGTTAAATCTGGTTACACTTACAGATATCGTACAATAGAGCTTAATACAGTGCTACGATAATCCACAAACACAAGAAGACCAAAGTGTCCAATCAACTGCTCTGTGACATAGTTTCAACAAGAATCCAATTGTGAGCTTCAGAGGTAGTGGACCACATTATATCAGAAATGATCCATGACATATAGAGTTTGATTGTTTAGGGTTGGACAGCCTTGACCCACCTCTTTGAAAAGTGGGTCAAAGTCTGTGACGGGCCAAATCTGTTCAATTCTTCTTGACTGTATGCCATTGATTTGGCATGAGAGCACACAGGTGTGTGTGTGTCTTTGTGTGTGAAAGGCGTCCTTGAGTCTCTGGATGGCTCCGTTCCCTGCCTGTCAGACCCGGTAGATTGTTTGTGGAAGATTGCAGTGATATCAGGAAGGTGGCAGACATCCCATTTATCCCACCGATCCTCCTCTAGCCTTTCCATTCGCCCCCTATCTGCTGCCATCACACCCAGAGGCTAGCAGTGCACAAAGCCTCGGAAAAGCCTTTTAAAGGCTGAGTGAAACACTTCAGTGTGTGTTTGTGTGTCGGTGCGAGGAGTGTTTGACCAGTTCTGACTTATAAAATGTTAAAAACAAGACATTTCCTGGCATTCAATTTTCTGTCTTTCCTTTCTCTTTGAATGACTCATGAAGTCATGGTCAAGTGTTTGCCTTGATAAAATGATGACACGAGGCACTTAAGGTGGGCATCAAAAGCAAAGCTAGCTGAAATTTTAACTCAAAAGTAAAAGAATGACTGTTACTTCAAGTTATACATTCAAGCCTTCTTTAAAAAAAATAAAAAAAGATATTTTGGGCCATTAGCAAGGACAGCTGAAGAGAGACAGGAAACGTTTGGAGGAGAGAGTGGGGGATGACATCAGGTCCAGGTCGGATTGGAACCCAAGGCCGCGGTAATGAGGACTATTGCCTCCGTACATGGGGCTAGCGCCAAAACCACTAGGCCACCGGCGCCCCCACATGCGCCTTCTTTATGTTCAGAATGTATTTTTCAGCTTCATGAGATCTCTTCAATTTTCGCATGTTTTAATATAAACTATTTGTGAAGTAGTTTGTGTGTTGCTAAAAAGAGGAACCATCACGTTGCTCCTCCAAACGGAGAAGTGAAAGCTGGAAACATCCAACCACAGCGACTGCTTGTCACACCGTAGTGCAGTAATACAGTTCATTTGTTGCTTTCCCGCCCATACCTCTGCTTCAGTAGGACAGAGATAGAGGAGACAGAAGCTTTGAACCACACAAGAGAGAAGAAGGGCAATTGGAGGTCAAATCCATCCACATCCCGTGCTGTTAGCTGCAGGATTGGCTTTAAATGAAAGAAACACACAGACGCACACATTGACAATGTTTTTGGTCCCACCTACACACATGCAGGAAAATGAGTGTGCATACTGTACAAAAACAACACATACATGGAGGATTAGGGTCAGCTTAGGGATGGGATGCGTAAGTTCAGCAAAAGGTTTTGTGTGTGTGTGTGTGTGTGTTTTTTGTGTGCATTGATTTAGCAGGTTATATAACTTAATCCTTACAAACATTTATGGAATTCTAGGAAAAGAGAATATGCAAGCACTGTGCATTTTTAAATTAATTTATGATGTAGTGTTAACATCCATGTATGCACAGATGAGAGGAATCAGCCAAACACATTGTAACTTAATGCTACAATCCAGTGTTTTAGATTAGAGAAATTAAAACCGTCCACATTTATCCACTTAAGCATGCACACATTAATGTAATGTGTGTTAAATGTTTGCATCTTTAAGCAACTGTAAGCCCAGCTTTAACTGAACTTTGCCATCCAACCCCTTCGGTGCCATATGTAAAAACTTAACCAGTGAAGAGCAGGGGAGTAAAGAGCAGGTGTAAGACAGACCAAGACAGAACGTCGAGGAAGAAGAAATTAGGAATGCTGGCTTGGTAAAGGGAGGAAGAAAGAAGGGGAGCATGAAGGCAAAGTAGTAAGAATTCAAGTCCTGGTGGCAGTGAGTCTGATTAAAGAACAGCATTCTGCCATATATAGTCAAAGTCCTGATTTAATCACATATAGAAGTGATGGGAAATCAACTCTGAAACATTGAATATGACACATTCCTGGTGTGTTTACTGCCCAGTTATTATCTCTGCACAGATCGTTTCTAAATTCTTGTACTAACAGTGGTTTCAATCGAAATAGCTGACTTCGGTTTGATGTGTGCTTGAGCCGTATTTCCAGCTGAAGAATCGAAACAGATGAATACAATTGACTGTCCGCTTTCTGTTTAGGGTGATAAGGACTTCACCCCAGCTGCTGCCCAGGTCGCCCATCAGAAGCCCCAGCCTGGTGTTCCGAAGCTGGCCCCCCTCCAGCAGCACATCAAACAGCAAATCCACCAGCCTCGCAAGTGAGCCGGGCAGCAGGCTACAAGGGCTCCGCTAACTCCACTAGCAGGCCTTTCCAATGGAACACAGAAGATGAATATATTTCCCCCACCAGGCTCAGGTCTCTGCTTAATAATCACCGTAGTTTTTTGTTTTGTTAGCTTTTACATGACCTGTACAAGGATCTTAAACAGACGCCCAGTGTAGCCATTGTAGAGGACCCACTGTTTACACCTCTGCTGCATTGTGCTGCACTATCAGTTCTGCACTTTTAATCCTCCCCTTATGAGGGATTGTGTTGACGATTTTATAGTCTTAAATCGGATTAAGTGGCCCTTCTAAAATGGCTATCATTGTAGGATTACACATTAATGGAGAAGCTGATCTGAGTCTGTGGGGGGAACTCTCATCCCCACCCATGTGCTGATTAACACAACATCAAAGCGAACCAACCAATCACAGTAACCTGTAATCGGTCCGACCAACCAATCACCTCACAGTGACGAGCCCGAGCTCCAGCCTTCTACCTATGATCTTCACAGACCAAAAGAACCAATCGAGAAATCACAAGGTGGACATTAATAGAACATAATAAACACAAACCAAAAAGATACAGGAAGCAGCTTCTGAGGAACAAACCTCACTTTGATGATATCACTGCGTCAAACATGAACCAGAGAGCGCTATAGTTGCTCAAAGTATTACAGCATTAACCAATCATAAGGTCTGTAGTGTTGCCTGACTCCCAATGCAAAGTGTAGATATAGTATCTCCAGATAGGTAACATTTTCAATATTAAAGACACCAAAAAAGGGGAACCAATGAGATGCTGACTGTGTCATGAGTCATGCTTGCTAGCTTAAAGCTTTGGCTAATATAGCTTTTAGGCATTGACAAAAGCTATTTACCTTTTGCTAGAGTTTCTTCCTCTGTCACTATATTCAACTTAATTTAAGAGGAAGCGCCTTACTGATGTCTGCTCTGCATTTTCTGCTGCTTTGTTATTGCTGTAATCATGTGGCTCCTCCTCTGCATTGTTAACTAGTTTTAATGCAAACTTAACCTGCCTCATAGTAAACAGCTTTTAAAAAAAAAAAACTGCCTTATTGCTTAGAATCCAGGATTGCATTTTTTCTCTGCTTTTCACCGGAGTCAGCTGGAAAGAGAAAAACAAAGCCAGAAATGCGATGAAATATGTTTACTGTGAGGCAGCGACAGGATGCTTTGTGTATGCATTAACAATAGCATGAACAGCAGGACAGAGTAATGTACTTTACAACAAAGTGTTGCAGTGCAGCAGCTCAGAAAATAGTCCAGCTTTCAGCTGTCAGATAAAGGTAATCGCTGTGCAAAAATGGTGATTTCAACATTCCATAGAAAACTGTCTGAATAAATATGTAGACGTTTAGAAGTGTTCAGAGCAAATACAATCCATTTATTTCCTCCTGCAGAAGATCAGCAGGTATGGCTTGTTTAATATCAGACATTTGCATCAGCCCCTAAAATCCTAAAAAAAAAAAATGTCCTTAGAAATGATACATATCAACACACACTTAAAAAACACACACACCACCCTTTTCCTTAAACACCCATCCCCTTACACTCAAGTGTCGTCGTAACACTAATGTTCAGGTTCTAAGACAAGAAAGAATTTATCTTACCAAGAAGGAATAATTTCCAATGTTAATTTAATTTTAAAAGAGTTGTATTTTTGTTTTTTTCTTTGGTTCTTGTTCTTGAGTAAATTGTTTAAATTGTATAAATCTTTAGTCATTGAGTGGACTTAGGTATTAGGTGTGGTTGTCATAGTAAATAAAGATATAAACTATCTTGTTAAACCTTTCCATGTTGTCTTTTTTTTAATGAAAGAAGGAATAGCTGTCCATGAAACTTGTTTTGATTTGTAACATTCATCAGGTAATAAAGAAATCCAGGTCAGCACTAAAGAAGGTGAATGATGTACCCCTAAAATGTTCTCCGATAAAGGAGTCCCACTTGGACTTGATCCGTGTCTTACCTGGAGTATTTGATTATCACACGGTGAATTAGCACCCTGCACTGAGGGATTAGGGCTCAGGTGTTGTTTTGAAATGAAAAAGAAACATCTCCAAGAGCTGTCTGCTTTCTCCCTCAGTAGCTCGCTCACACACACACACACACACACACACACACACACACACAGTGTGCACCAGGTGTTAGTGCATGTAATCCATCTTTACACAAGCATCTGCAACCAGGTGTTCTGTCAGTTTATGTTAGCCCAATAAAGCAGCCTGTGCAGGCTCACTCTGTGCGAGCCTCTGTCAGCCGGCTGGAACTCCCCATTAAAGCAGACATGGTCTGCTCCATTCTCCGTGGTTGTATATAGTTCTCCCTTCCGCTGCCATGCCTTATTAGACTGACTGGAAGAACAGAATGTGCGTGAGAGGATGCTAAAAATATATCATACTGTCCAGCTCATAAATCTGTGCTTGTATGACTGTGAATTCTGCAATGAAAAAGGTACATAAGATGAATATCTATTCTTATCCTAGATATGAATAGTCGTGAATAGCCTTAGAGATCAGCTGTATTTTTGCTTGTTAAGCTGGTAATGATTGTGTCAGAAAGTAGACCCTTAAACTCTACAAACATTGGTACTTTATGACCTCACATACAGGAGAAAATACTTTCATGACACTGAAAAAAATATCCTTTATATTTTCTCAGATTTAAAGTAAATTAATCATACAGATAAAAAAAAGAGCCTCCAAAAATTAATGTTGGATAAAATAATAGGAAAGATGCTTTGGTGCATTATTTATGTATGAAGGTTGCTATGGTAGACCAACTTTCAGACGGGTTCAGTTGTTGATTTGAATACAAATGCCCATAAATGCAACACTATGTTGGCATATTTAGAAAAGATATCTACTAACAATATCACATGACAACAATTCAAGTCTTTGTTAATTTGACTCTTGACGCTTTTTTTTTTGGTTCTCTTCCACTGCCATAAAAACAGGCAAGGTTACAGTTTTATTGCACTTTACCCTCAGCTCAGTTCTTCTCATTTGGAGGCACTTTATTACATTAGCCCAGAGTATACAGCACCAGCTGTTGGCCATGTGGTCCTCTGGAACATTAAATCTGGCTGCAGCCAGTTGAGACTGGTCGATTCTACCACCAAACCACCTGAAAACCTTCCACTGATGCTGCCGTTTACTCAGTCAACAGGCCACAGCCAGATTAGGACCTTTTTTTGGATTTGCTTACAGTCGGTTTGATAAAAAGAGCAGGGCTAAAATGACAAAGTTACTCTGACATTTTGGCATTATGACTAAAGCTTCACCAAAACCAAACAGCTTGCACTATTCTGCACATATATATATATGTGTGTGTGTGTGTTTGATATTTAAATCATCACACCATTCAATGTATGGAAAGCCTTTAGTAGCACATTGCCAGTTTTAAGTATATCCAACATATTTTTAGTTCTTTGTTGGAAATGTCAAAGAGAAAGTATATTGCAGTACTTCTTATCAAGTTTGGTGCTATTAAAACTCCTGGGAGAGGGTTTTTTCCGTGTAACAGACCTGCTCTCTGCCAAGTTTCCCTCACTTTTTTTTAACAGTGAGGGCACCGCCACTTGAAGTTCATCTTTAGTTCACACATTGTAGATAATTCTGAAGATGATTTAATTGTGAGACTTTTTCCTTTATTCAGAAAAGGAATTCATTAAGAAAGACCTCCTTTGTCCTTGATTGCATCACAGTATCATCTCAAAGAAAACTTAAAACAGAACTTCATATGATTTAGCTCGTAGACCCGGAGCGCTGGAGATAGATTACAATGAGTTCTTGCCACATCAGATAAAATAATGAGACAATGTAACCATAAGGACACGAAAATAAACCCTGAGCTGTAGATCACAACAAGGAAATTAAATAAATCATCATTAATTATTTGCTTTCTTAAAATTCCTTGCACTTTATTGTCAGCTACAAGAGATAACTTCATAAATTCGTTCTCATTTTAATGCAAATATAGCCAGATTTAAAATAAAGTCTTCTATTTCAGACTTTATAAATGATAGTTAAACTACTATCATGTTGATCTGAGGATCCACAAAACAATTTTTGCTTATTATTTGAATAAAAACGTG